GTGCCTGGTTTGTACCTTTTTTCCTTCCTGCGGGTGGAAAACATGTGCATAGAAAAAGGTTTGAGTCATTCTTAATGTCAGGTGGCTTAGTTCATCCGGGTGCACCAGGAAATCATTATATGTGCAGTTATTGTATTTACTGTAAACGGTGAGGCATATAGAGTAAGTCATACATCGTCATACATCTCAACTTTTGAGTTTTGTCCTCTCTCTCCCCTCTCTTGTTTTCTCTCTCTCCCTCTCCAACCTCTCCAGCAGGAAATCTCTTTATGGAGCTCCAGCAGATAAGAAAACTTGTTTCCATGGGGACTGCAGTCTTTTACACCGGCTAGACATGTGTGCGTCACGCAGCTCGAAAATAATAAAGTTTTCCACTTTGATGTACCAAGCTATTGACACAAGATGAATTGCTAAGGCTAATCGACCAATTTTACCATGTCTAATCGATGGCCTACTACAGTGTAAATTGACAGTTTAAATTGTTTCTGCAGAGTGGATCAAAGGGCACAAGGTTAAAGCCAGCTGTTACGAAAGATACAGACAATGCAGCCATTGTCACAGGGACATCCATTTAAGACTGAGCAATATGTCTTTTCTTTGTAAAAAAAATATAACAGTGGATGCATCCCAGACTCACATGCCAAGGTATTGTTTATGTATGCATGCGTAAACCAAAGCAATACTGCACTTTGCATAGGCAGCGAGTACACAGCTTGCCAATGTTGGAGAATTGTTTGCTGCAAAAAGTAGTTTTTCCACTAAAAGTCAGGTCGAGGATGAAGATGTCATGCACTGGATGCATTTGCAATGTTCAAATATTGTAAGCATGGAAATATAAATATATACACTTAAGTGTGATCTTGATTGGAGGTTTAGGTGCAGGACATATAGGAATGATGCTCATCAAAAGTTAATTTACTTTTGGTTTTTCTGTAAAAATGAATGCATACTGCCACCCAGTGCAAGCAACAGGTTTGCTGAGAGCTGTGTGTGACTCACACAAAGCTGTGCTTGTAAAATGATACTTTTACATCTTCATGAATTAGATTGCAGTGCTGTGCTGTCAATTACAGCTGCGTATGTTTTGACTATTACAACACTATGTACAGTATATGTAAAGACAATATTAAATGATAAAGTGAGACCCTTCAGGCAGCAGGATATTCTGTTAATGGCCCCAAACAGTGAAGGAGCTCCACTTATCAGTATGGCACAATCCAGGGTTTTACCAAGCTTGACTTGGTCTTTAACAGTCAAAACCGGATATGCAATTAACGCCTCCTCCTTCCCGAGGCAGTGACTTTCTAGCAGCGACTCACTAATTGCAGACAACCATCGTGAATTACATCGAGGGGGCACAAGGGCTTCAGAATCTATTCAGCACAATACAAATGGAAACATAAACTGACAGCTGTGACGACCCTCTCTGCCTGTTCGTTTGGCTGCCTTCCTTGCAGGTGTGGAGGTGGGTGTGGCAGAGGGTCGTCAGGCAGAGTGGAAGCACCTGAGGCCATTTGCAACACTGGCCCTGTGTGCCAGAGCACTCGGTACAAAAACCCTCTGGATCTTCAGTTGGCTCTCGCTCCTTCCTGAGACACCCACTTTGGCTTCGGTTATGGTTTGTTTTTACACTATACAACACTGCATATACACTTTACACGCACCCACTCACTTGCACTGCTGAAATGACTGACTTCACATGTCACTGTTAGTTTATGTTTGTCTTTTATATTACTTTAAACTTAATAAATAATTAATCAACTGTTCATTGAATGCGTCTCCCTTTTTTGTCATGGCCGTTCGCCCCGGTTTGTGACACAGCATTGACAAAGCTTTCCTTTTCTTCTTTGAGACAAATGATATTTCAAAAGGGCAAATGTCTCAATTTGACCAACAAAACGTTCCATCTATCTGCAAAGGATTTGTCAATAGCTTAGTTCCATATGAAATACTGGATCAATTTAAATTGACTTCACTCCACGGTCCACCTCAGTGAAACGTAAATCTCAATCACTTCATAAACATAAGCGCCATCCATTCACAAAATGTGCAAATACCTTTGAGCTTTGATGATTAGCACTAGAGATCTTGGCAGACACTAACATCCTAGTAAGTGTAGCTCTCCATGTTCTTGTAATACCTACGCCAGAGTTGAGCTGTGGAGAGATCTCTGGACAGACAGACCTTGAACCTGCACCAAAGTGACGGACTGGCAAGTCTCCCCGAGCGTACAATTTAGGACACAGTCAATATAGTTCTCTGTCATACAGTACATCATCTGCCGAAGGATGACTGAGATATTTGAACTGGTACTGCAGGTAGAAACTTTAACTAAAGCTCCTGCATAAGCAAACTCGTTTAATCTTTCATGGCATGAGCCGACTGCTCTGAGACCAGAGTCAGGGAGAATATCTGGAGTGTAGAGAAATGTCTTGAAACTTTTGGCAAGAAGTTAGTTGTAATCCGGTGGAAGTTTATATCACTTTAAAGTGTCTTACTGTCGACTGTGAGCTCTAAAGCATCCTTGCCTAGACCTCGCCGTTACACGCTCCTGGTGCAACTGTCAACTGGGGCGGACCGTCCAGTGCATGTTTCCAAAATGATGATTTTTGCCATAATCAAGCAGCCCTACTCTGAAGCCTTCAGCAGGGCCGTAGCTAGGGTTTTAGAAATACTGAGGTAAGTCCCCTCCTCACTAAAGAAAAGATCCTGGTGAAAAATAATGTATTATTTATTTATTGCCCTAAAAGTAATCACAACGAGCTGAAAAAACTCAATACGTTTTGGTTAATTTTTCTGATTTCTCAAATGAATTGGAACTATACCGGATGTGCGGACGGATGCATGGACGGATTAACAGATCGTTGGAAGGATGGATTATGGATTCAATTTAACACACAGAACCCTTCTTGTTACGGCTTTTTTAAAACCTCCTCCAGGAAGTGACCTTTTCACACTAGTGACTCACTAATACAGACACTCAATATAAATCAGAGGGAGCAATCTGTTCCGTTCAACAGAAAAGTCAAAGCATTATTGAATAAATAACAGCTCTTTTCTTTCTTTGACTATTGATATGTCAAAAGGCAAATGTTACAAAAGCGATTTCATGAAATCATCATTTATGAGACTTATTCCTCATATTACTGAAGGAAGAAAATTATCCAAGCTCGGTATCTATAGACATTGACATGCCTCCTGGCCACTGAGGGGCAGATAGACTAACTGTATGTGTATATGAATGAATGAAATGGAAGAATAAGATGGCAGAAAGCATTTTTATCTGCCGTTCTTGGCTGGATCAAGAAAGAGTTTCCAGTCTGCTGTGTAAGTTAACAGTTGACGATTAGCCATCGTCTAAAATCAAAAGATGAATACAGGATGCTTTGAAAACACTTTACCCTCATATTTCGCATTTATGAGCAGTAAACACTTAATAAACCGTCAAAATTGAACAATATATTTATAGGCAGCTATAAGGACATTAATTGCTACATATACCGTATATAACTCCTTGTATGAAACATCTGTGACTGGTGTAAACAGTTAATAAATGATTCATAACACCGTATAACACACAGCTATGATCATATCTGATGATAGATGAATACACCCAAGAACAAATCCTTGCAGTATCTAATAAAACATTTACATATTAACTGTTTGTACACATGTACAGTTAATAAACGTGTTCTAATCTGATAACATTTCATCTCAGTGTATGGAGTTTGCTCAGTTGACGGTTGAGAGTGAAGTGTTTGTGAATAAGTAGATACTTCATTATTGAATACAATAATTATGATAAGTACTTCCTCAATGGATGTGATATCTGATACAGTAAACAAACAACTGCCCAGTGGTTGCTGTGGTGTTTGAGTTCGTTGCTGTGACGCTTCTAAGTGGGTGTTAGGCTGTTCGTGACGGCTACTGAATAAATAATTAATATATTGTTGATTAATAAATATTCATACGGTATATTATCAACAACTGCTTTACTATATTGTCAATCATCCATTAACTTTTTATCCATCAGGATCCAGTCATTCAAATGAGTTATAAATGATGTTAAAAAATAAACTTATGTATGAGTTTACATGTAAACTGTAGTGTATTTAGCTATAATAAGAGATTATATAGATTATTGGGAGGGATTAAAACAAAGCGTATCCGTTATAAATTACAATCACTCTATGAAAAGATGAATTATGTCCATTTATATAAGGTGCAATCATTATTAGGGGCTTCACGAACCCCCTGCAGTACCTCCTGTTGAAGACCTCTGCTTTAGATCAAATAGGGAGCAAGAGTGATAGAGGCCGTGATGTTACGCTGTGCCACCACCAGATGGCAGTCAAATTGAATCACCGCAATGGATCTCAGCCCATCATGGGATACATCCCAGCCCTAATCAATCACTCATTCAGCCAGTGATACATTTTTGGTGTAGTTGATTAACGTGCTTTCATGCTTATCGTTTCCAATATTTGTTCTGGTTTAAGACCATAATCATGTTCAGAGATTTAGAAAAGATGCCTATAAACATATACTCAGCTGTCAGTTTATGTGGTGCAGATACAGGAGCTAAAACGAATACAGTCTACAACAGCCATGCAATAAATCTCACCCTCATGAAGGTGGTTTGGTTTTTGATTTTGACTTTAACTTGGCAATTTGGGTTTTTTGTATGCTGTAGTTTGTGGCTCTGTTCAGTTGTATAGCGTGATACAGAGAAGATGTTTATATTTTTTCAATCCAATTTATGTAATTGGGCATGGTTCTATTTATTAAATTAATAACGTAATTATCGTATTAAATCATGGTCATAAACTGTATATATATATATATATATATATATATATATACACACAGATATATTGTTATGGCCCACGTTCGATTTTATCATCACTTCTCTGTGCTTGTAACTCAGACTTCTACCAGCGGGTGGCGGTGATGCGCCGTTAACATTGAATATCGACAACATCATGAAATCCAACGAAGAAGACCGACACCCCTCCGGGTCCAGTCTGGGCTTGGAGTTAAAAGTAGGCTGCATATTCCGGTCACTGGGGGTAAACAAGGTAGGCAGACAAGACACGTCTCCCGCTCTTTGACACGATCGTCTGTATACAATTATATCCTTTTGATTTGGGTGGCTAAGTATGCTAGCTAACAACTTTTTTCTGCTCGAGTTGACTGACATTAGCTGCAAAAAAAACCTGCCGAGGCTAACGTTAGCTTAGCCAGTTAAATACTCCTAACCAGGCAAGTTAAAGGTATCTGTTAACAAACGCTAATGAGTCCCACACATGCAGTTGCGTCTCCATCCGTCTGTACGAGCTCTTTATAACAGCGTAACGCTAGTTGTCATTAAACGTTGGTCGTGTTAAATGTCGGTCACACTACACAAAGCATTCGCACCAGTAATGATTCATTATTTGATATTATTGTAACGTCGTATGCAATGCCGAAAGTATGTTCGACAGCAGCACAAATCACTAATCTGTAATATTACTATTATGTTGTTGGGATCACGTTTTCCTTTCTGCCCTCAGGTTCCAGCTGTGTGCCGTCTCCACAACATGACAGGAACCACCTTGCAGCTTGCAGGCGACCAACATCAGACTTGTCAGGAACATTACAGCTTCGGTCCGATGTCAGGAACACACTAGAAAACCATCAGGAGGACTGGAGCCGATATACCCCCGACAGGACAGGACAGTCCGGATCTCTCTTCTTTCTCCACTTGAGACAAATGGTTTTGAGTCATGGATCAAGGTGTTGTGGACGGTCCTGTTACCCTGGTCATCAGGGCACCCAACCAGAAGTACAATGACCACACCATCAACTGTTGCCAGAACTGGACTGTGGAGGAACTCAAAGCGCACATCTCAGATGTATACCCAAGCAAACCCGTGAGTATTGTCTTTTGCTCCAGTCCACCAGGACAATGCGTTAATGTCTGTGGTCCTCTGGTCCATCCTGCTGCCCTTTGTCATTCAAGTCAGCTGATCACCTTTTGTTGAATCACCAGAAAGAGCTCAAACTGTGTTGTTGTTGTTGTTTCACCTGTACTGGGCAGCCTGAAACATGAAGTGAGAGAGAAACTGGTGACATAACCATGAATAAAATGTTCCCAGTCAGAAACAAACATGTTCCCATGACTGCTGGGTCCCTCCCCTCATGTGATATGTATGATGTCTGTAGACGTTAAACCCAGGAAGTGAGTTGTGTGAGATAAGATCAAAAACACTGTTGCCTCCTGTTGAATGTCCACTCGGAAGAATAATGTAGAAGAAATGGATTTGGCTGGTATTGTAACAAGAGTCCAAACATGTTCAGATAGCCGTCCCTCTGAGTTCATTAACGTTGAATTATCAGTCACACAGGCCGTTGATGTTGATCTATTCTCTGAAGTGAAAGTTAGGTTTCCAGAGTCATAGTAGCTGAGAGAGCCTTGGCGTCACAATGAAAAGAAGGCGTTCAGACTCCTGCTGTATTATGCAACTAGTCACATTTTGCTCCCTTTCCTCACTGCCCGGGAATAGTTCTGATGCAATCGTTGTATGAAACACACAGGAACAAACGGCTCCCTTAGAAAGCTCTGGAGTTATCTCTGTAAGGGCTCCACTTAAGTTAGCGGACATTGACTGTGATATATTTTAACAATGAGGCATCTTGAACCCAGAACAAGTTGGCCAGGATTTGAAAAAAAAAGGCCATTTAAATTCCTGAATGGTCGTACAGTGAATGCAGGCTTGAGGAGGACACGCTCTGACCTTGTTCCACTGCCAGGTTAATCCACTGTTAAAACCCACTTATTCCTTTTGAGGTTACTATAATCTCATCCTCATTACTCGCTCACACAAAGTATCTGCCTTTTGATGTCGTAATCTACCTGTTTTTCATGCTCGTCAAAATTGTTGTCAATATTAACTAGAAAGGTTGAAACTAAATTTAATGAACTGTATTCTATTATCTCCCATGACCTAATTATCCTCACACTTCTGGATTTGTAGAGCTCCAAAGACCAGAGGCTGGTGTATTCAGGGAAGCTGCTTTTGGATCACTTTACCCTAAAAGATGTGCTCAGAAAGGTAGGTTCTCTCTGTGGAGGATTTCGTATCCATTCGAGCGATGCTAGTTTAGTAATTCTTAAGCTACCAAGAAGCACACAAGCTGCCTGAATCTCTGCTTCCACCAACTGCATATTATCAGCAAGTGGACACCTGTCAGACTCCCATGGTTTGTGCTCGTAAGATAAATCTTACTGATACAATGATATATTTAGACAATAATGTTTGGCTTGTAGCAACAGTTTGGGAAAGGTCCCGTCCTCGTTAAACAAGACAAAGCGAGGTTTATAAAGAAGTAGTGTTCCCGGTTTAGTCGGGACTCTTACTCGGAGCCCTGACCTCTGCCCCGTGGAACACCTTTGAAGCTGCTACATGCGACCTCATCGGCCAGCATCACTGGCTGACCTCGCAAAGGCTCTCGTCTTGGCCCCGCAGACAGGTTGTGGAAAGCCTTCCCAGAAGAGGGGAGGCTGGTGTAACAGCATACCAGGGTGCTCTGGTATTTAACGGTTAAACATGCTATCCAGGAAAGATACTATCAAGTGTGATGGGTGGTATTATTAGACTAATGTATTGTCCCGTTTCCCTGCACTATGGTGGTATTTTATTGAGAAAATCAACTAGACATGTTGTTATACTCCATTTATTGATATTAAAACTCTTTTTAATTTCAGTTCCTAAAGCAAATGACACCGTACATCCATTAAGTTCAGAAGTTTTATTTATTTCAACATGCAATACTTGGACTGTGTTTTAATAATGAGCTGCGTTTGCTTCTACAGCAGGACGAGTACCACATGCTCCATCTGGTGTGCGCCTCACGAACCCCCCCCAGCTCCCCGAAGCCCCCCCGCAGCCACAGTAACAAGCCTCGGGAGAGCTCGGCCGGTCCCGCGGTGGGTCCGCCACGCGCTCCTCACACCTTTCCATTCATTTCATCATCAGCGCATTTCCTTTCATCATCCAGCTCACTGCTGTGATCTACGCCTCCTTGAGGATTTGAAAAAATTTAAATGAAAAAAAAAAAAAAAAAAACGTGGCTTGCCTTTTTTTCAAGATGAACCATAACTTTGGAACTTTTTTTCTGGTTTCAGCCCCTTCAAAACTCTACTAGTCCCTCTACTGGTCCACACAGCCAGCCACCTCCAGCAGAGAGCAGTGATGGACTCAGACAGCGAACCGGACCCTTCCCTTACCAACAGATGTATCCACAACTTATGCACAGGTAGGCTCACTACAGCAAGTAAGGAGTTTCAGAACATAGGAAAAATAAACCTTCTGAATGATACACAAGGAAGATTAGCATGAAATACACTTCCATGGATTTATGGAGCAAACTGTACTGCAGCATATGTCTGAAAAGAGCTGTAGTTACAAAGAGCTGTAGTTACAAAGAGCTGCTATTGTTTTGAAATATAATTCGTTTAGCTTATTTTCCAGTGCAAAGCTTGATTTTCTGTACATAATTACCTTGGCTGTTAGTTGATGCAAATGCCATTAATAACTCATCAGTCTAATGTATCTACAATCAAAGACCAATAGAAGGTGTGTGTGTGTGTGTGTGTGTGTGTGTGTGTGTGTGTGTGTGTGTGTGTGTGTGTGTGTGTGTGTGTGTGTGTGTGTGTGTGTGTGTGTGTCCCAAGTGAAATGTTTTTGTAACAATGTCTGTGTTTCCAGCTGGAATCAGTACTCCCCACAGTCAGCTGCTCCCACTAACATGCCCGCATACATCAACCCCATGACGCTGATGTGGTGGCAGCAGTTGTACGTCCGGCAGTACTACATGCACTAGTGAGTCCCCTCATGTTTCTTAATGCGTTAAACCGATTCCCTATCCAGCCAATAGTAAACGAGCCCCCCCCCTCTCTCCCTCCAGTCAGCTACTGGCTGCCTCCTCTCAACACCTCAGGCCGGACCAGCCCTCCACTCACTCCAACCAGCCCGACCCTCTGAGCCAGCGACCTCAGGCGGACCGCCGAGGCAACCCGGAAGTCCAGATGAACGCCCAGGGAGGGGAGGTCCTGAACGAGGAGGAGCTGAACCGGGATTGGCTGGACTGGGTGTACACGTTCTCACGTGCTGCGATCCTCCTCAGCATCGTGTACTTCTACTCCTCCTTCAGCCGCTTCGTCATGGTGATGATGGCCATGCTAGTGCTTTACCTGTGAGTCTTCCTGAGTTATGCTGCTGTAGATTGATTCGGCAGTCCGGGCTTTTGGTTAATATTGTACATCTACCTCCCATAATGATTCCTGTCTTTTGTTGTAATTATCACAGACCTCACTTTTTGCTCAAAATAATGATTAATAATGAATGGATAGGATGTTCAATGTTACTGGCAGGATGTACAAAGTTTGTAATGAGAGTTGTTGTTTTCTGTCTGCAGGCATCAGGCCGGCTGGTTTCCCTTCAACCTGGAGAATGAGCTCCAGCTTCCTGGAGACGGAGCCAATCAGGACGACGTGGAGGGAGAGCTACAGAACCAGAACATACAGGAAATGGTAGCGTCTCAGCTTTACCAAGAACATTCTATCTGTAGCAAAAGGTTGTATTTGAAGTGCAAGTGGTTCACCGAGATGCCAGTTTATAGAAAATCTAAACAAGTAAAAGTGTTAGTCGGGGTGGAATACCACCCACTATTTTTATCATCTATTTATCGTTCGAACCATTTATTAAGAACATTTTATTGTACCAGTTTCCCAAGATGGGATCATATCAGTTAATTTATTTGGGTTTTACATTGTCTGACAAAAAAACGATTTAAAGATGCGATAATATTATACTCGAGTAAAAGTACTGTAAGTATAAAACCATTTTACTCCAGTTAGAGTACTTGTGTAAAAATGTACTCAAATAGAAATTCAAAACAGAACTAAGTTTTATTGCTGTTTAAATAAATTGCATTAAATGTCACCGACCGCACCAGTGTGACACATGACCACTTATGTCCGAACCAACAGATTATCAATTCTAAATATACGACCGCCTTCCTCAGTGCTTCCTCGCTAGAATTAACCAGAAAAGAGACCGAACTCAGACAATTAAACTGAAGTAACCAAAGAGCTATTTACACCTCTTCAACAGCATAAAGGCTTCTTATACAATCAGCAAAAACAAACATCACCAAGGCAGACAGTACATAACTCCACAGTGGCTGCAGCCACAAACACACATATTAAAGCAAAAAGAGAGAGACTGCACAGGTTCTACACACCATGTAGCACGCACATACAACACTGCTAAGCAAGACAGTGGTCGATGACATTCTCATCTGAAGAGCGAGTTTCATTTGTCAGGAAGTCTGTTGTTGTACTCACCTGTCTGAATGTCCTTCTGCGTCGCACTGCAGAAGAACTGCACTGGAGTCCTTCTGAATCTGCTTCTTTGCTGGATCATTCTCAAAGCATGTTGTAACTAGTCCACTCAGCCAGTCTGTCCCACTATAACTAGTCCACTCA